AAAAAAAAAAAAAAAAAAAAAAAAAAAAACCCCAATGATTGGGAAAACAAGTAGTCAACTATGGCCTGGTGCATGTACCACAATGGTGGTATGGAGCAAGCATGTCATGTCTTAAGATAATACATACACACACACACTTTTTAATGCAATTAATGAAAATAATCGTTATAATGTATGACTGGATGTTTAGCTATGATGGAGTATTAGATGATACATGGAGGCAAAGTGCAAATCAATAAAAATGCAAAGAAATTCCCTTTTTGCAAAAGCATAGAAAAATTTTCGTCTAAGAATTTCTTGAGTTATCTCAAAGAAAAATAAAAAATGTCTTGAGAAGATTTTGTTGTCAGCTTAAGAGTAAAAAAAGTAAAATAGGTCACCAATAGGTCCAAATGTATGAATTTTAATTGGCAGATAAGAACCATAAAAGTTTCAGCATGTGAGATCTCACTCAGCAGTACACTAACTTCAACTAATCAACAAGAGAGAGAGATATCTTACCTCAGAAAGAATGGGAATCCCTATGGTTCGCATCAGCACAGACACTTTACTCTGAAGAAATTCTTGTTCTTCATTTTTAAGATTTCCAAAGTACAGAAAATCAACGGCATCCAAATGTTTAAATCTCTTCCTTAATTGTTCATCATCACACCAGCATACCAGACCAAAAGAAGGGTGTAAAGAAACCCACTTATCAAGAAGTGTTGGAAGCACCTTATACTCCAATTTAGAAAGACATTCTTTAATCTGAATGACATCTTCAGAACTTAGTACACCAGACTTTAGATCATCAGCCCACTTCATAAAAACTTGGAAAACCTGAGAAATGTAAGAAACATATAAGATGATAGTATGGTCCTCAACCACACAAATGCGAGAATAGACTCTGTATGGTCACTTACAGCATTAGCAGCTTGAGAAGGCAAAACAGCTGTTGATAACTCCAGCAAAATGTCAAGGTAGCTAGAAAAGGAAGGTTCCTTGGACACTCCACATTCATTAACAAAGAAGTCATGGAGACCTGGATAAACATTGCATAATGTCCTGTTCAAGGGGCGATGATTCTGCACTGAATCACAATTAGATTGGCTCTCTATTTGGTTCATACAACTGGTTGGGTCATGCCAATACACTTCCTTGGAGCACAAGAATGCACCAGAAATGACATCATCAAGCCTGGAGCCAGACTTGTAAGGAACAAATATAGAAGGACCAGAATAAAACTCTGCTGCAATTTTCTGCCTTGAAGTAGACATTTCATTCCAAATAAATGAGTAAAATCTGGACATTTGTGCTATGCTGGAATGCAAAAGGCCAATTAGCATTTAAATTAGAAGGGTGAAGTGAAAACCAAATAATTAGAGAACAAAGGCAGTTTATACATAAGAATGACACATAAGACACATGAAGACATATAAACACAACAATCTGATGAGAATCCCAGCACCCAAAGGCCACTACAACCAGACTACCATTGCTCATGATAAAGGCCATCCAACTTGAAACCAACTGGAAATAGGTGGAGAGCTGAGGCTCATATAATATTTAGGTCCACAGGTTTCCCCTTGATTGATACAAAAGAGATTTTTGCACTTAATGCACCCCCCACTTGCAGGCTCAGTATAAACATCATTCCTAACCAAGGTTGTCAATTTCATACCGTACCAGTTTTTCCCTTCATCTGGAAGTGTATTAGTATGATTTTGGATCTGTTCAAATTGTGGCCAAACTGGTCAAATTTCCCACTTATCAGTTGTTTGTATTTAATAGACTAATCTTTCTTGTCTTCCCCACTCAGGGCAAGTGGATTATCCAACTGCTTCAGGGGAGCATACCTCTGGGTTGATGGTTTCAAATCCCAGGGATGATCCCTTCCACTTTGTAAATTTTTAGAAGTTTTCCCTCTTTCGAAAAAAAAAAAAGACTAATCTTTCTTTTGTTAAGGGTCTAATCCATATATAGTCAAGATATATACCAAAACTCTCCTTAGCCACTCCCACAAAAGATTGTCAACCAAAAAAAAAAAAAAAAGAAGTAGAAGAAGAAAAACCACAGACCAGCCAACCCATAAGAATATCAGTTCGGTTCCATAATGAAGATTCAAAGCCTCAGGAAAATAGATTTTAAGACCTAACCGTCAGAAAACATTTTAAATTGTACTCTTCATCCAGATTCTAAGAGCTGACATGGTTAAGATGAATGTAAGGGTTGGATGTGAGAAAACTTACATTGCATTTGAAATGCATCTATGTTTTGCCAGTTTCTTTTGAGAAAAATTCCCAAAATAAATAAATAAATCATGCCTGAATAAACAAAACTTCCAACTACATATCTTCTGGTTGTAATAATAATAAAAGCAATCAATAAGATGTACATGTAATAAATATCTACCCATCATTATCATAGCGCCAATGAAAGAAAAATTATAGTGAGAAGGCATCAGTACCTGGCCTTGAAAGGAGCCTGAGATCTCCATAGTTTTAGAACTTTGTGGATATCATCAGTTGTAACTAGAGTTTTAAAGCCAATATCCTTCACTAATTTTCCACTTCTTACCTATAAATGTAGCATAAAAATTGCACCAAAAAGGTTAGTAACATTGCTAACTTTGATTTGAAGACAAATTTTTATGCGGTAAGCTTTAAACTTGATTAAATAATAACATATCATGTTTAACTAAGACACCAAATTTTGTTTGTTATTTCACAAAAATGTAAAACAACAACACTGACACTTCTTGGCCAAAAAAAAGACACTGATACTCCATTTTGAGCTCAAAGTATGTTGGATTTCATAATTCATATCAAATTCAAGCATTATAACCTTTGAGACTTGAGATATTTTATTTTTCCCAAGTGCCAGTTCAAGACAACAATGAAGTATCCGATATAAATTGTGGGTTCAAAATCATACTTGATCAGGAATGAAGAATTATATCAAACCTTTGGAACAGCATATGGAGCAGAATCCCCAAGGATGTAGCGAACAGCATCACAATCATGGAATAAATCTCTAGGATAGTGAAGTTTATCATCCATGCTTGACACCATCCACTGAACATCACAAATGTTGCACAGAAAAGAAGACTTGAAGGGCTTAATATCACCATCAGATTTAAAATTGAAGTAACCTGTAACTTTTTCACAAAAATAGTCATCCCACAATTTATCAAGAACCTCCAACAAGTATTTACAACCTTCCTGATTGCTACTAGTGGACAACAGGGATAATAACTCAACTAATTCACGAGATTCCCAATCTTTGGCAACTGACCCATGAGAAATTAACTTCCTATCTGACAACATTTGCTCTAAAATGGTATCCGACATGTCAGCAAAGCTCTTATCAACTTGAATCACTTGCACAAAATCTGTTACACCAATTTCCTGAAAAAATTCCCTCCATTTCCTCACTTGTGATTTGGCTGCTGGATGATTCAAATATGTATTATCAACCTCATGCCATTTCGTTTCCATGTCATTAACAAACTTATTGATATTCACAGGACTATCAAACTCGTAGCTGAAATGAACTGATGCCTCAATTGGTCTTTTAAATCCATGATTTGTTAATATAAAAGCATTACTTTGTAACTCTGAAATAATGGAATCCCTCTCAACAAGACAACTAGGACAGCCAGTTTGCAGGTGAACCATCACAAAGCAGAGGTAGTCTATCATCAAATCCTTGTCTCCCCCCATCATTTCAGCCATAGCTGGCAAAATGTGCACCTTTATAATATCATGTGCAGTGAGCTGTTGGACTCCAATGCTATGTAGCACCCTAGTAATGTTGCCCACTAGAGTCATATCCATGCATGAGTTAGGCACAGATGATGCAGAAAGGAGGGCAGGAGTTACAAGCCTAAGTTTAGCACTCAAACATGGAAAGGCTTCGAGTCCAGATCCCCCATCAAAACCTGCACTAATGACATCAAAATGTAACCAAATCGTACCTTTCTCGAGTGAGCTGAACGTGCCATCTGACAAAGGAATAAATGGAATTTTTCTAAGGTTATCAATTAGATCTGCTTCTATTCCAGATTTCACTGAATCCTGCCCTAAAGAATGGAATGACATCATACAAAATTCATTTAGCCAAGAAGACAACCAATGCAGGCCCATGGATTTAAGACAATTTTCCTTTCCACACAAGGATGATATCATTTGAACTAGAACTTTAGGACCATATTCCTCTATACCCAGTGCCCTCGCCAATGAATCAGACAAAACTATATCCCTGTCCAAGAATCCAAGACCAAGGTGGTCATGAAGCAAGTCATCAGGAAAGAGATTATGGGCATGTTCATTCCAACCTCTAAGAACCTTGCATGGAGGCACCCACTGATTTTTGTTTCCTTCCAAAAGCAAGCAGTTAGACATCCGTAGTCCAGAAATGATCATTCGAGGAAGACAAGAAAAAAAGCCATTCACTTCACCAATAAGTGGAACAAAGCTCATGTAAACAGTAACAGCTTTCCCAGGATTTTCCCTAAAACAAGGAAGGGCACAGAAAGATCTTTCTGCACCGATAAACAAACCAGGAAACTGTGACAGTAACCACTGGTTCCAGGGGCTATCACCATCAACCTCCTCTCTGGATGAGGGAAGAACAAAATCACCTTGAAGGATGAATTTGAGACCATATGTCCTTAGAGGAAGAAAAGCAAAAACAGGTTGCTGGTCCAAAACTGCACCATAAAACCCATTCTCCAACTCCTGCAGTGTAAATGCCATGGCAATTTCTGTTACTCGCACATCACGATAAACAACTTTAGCATCCAACTTCTTCGATTCTACAAACCATGTCATTTTATCATCAGCACAAGAAACTTTTATAATTCCATTTCCAAGAATTTCTTTTCTCATGGCAGTGAGGGTACAATTGAGCATATTCCGAAACACGATACACTTAAGTCGATGAAGAAAGAGTAATAAGGATGGATGAAGATCAGAAAACATGGACACAATGTTGTTCATATCAACTCCTTTAGACATTCTTGATCTAAAAGGAAGTACAATGCAAGTGTTCCAACACTCATGATCCAAATGATCAGTTCCTCCAGATAACAGTGATCTAAAATGGTTAACATCACAAGGAGATATTAGTGTTGGCAAAACAAAACCTATCTGACCTTCACTTATATCAAATTTGACGTGAAACCCATTGGAATGAATCTCTGGAGCATCCGTGACCTGCAGAATGTCTGGTTAAAGATAATAGCAACCAAATTATAAATGCAGTATGCAGCTAATGGACAATCAAAAATCAGAATCTCAATAGTAGAGAGTGCAGTAAAATAAATTTAAATAAAATACAGATTGTTATGAAAGAATATAATACTGAAACACCCCTGTCCTAAACTGTAAGATTATATAAGTTTTTATCCTTAAATATTCATTTCATTGAGTTAAGTAGGTTAGGCAGAAAACCAGAATCTGGTTTGCTCGGTTGCATGGTAATTTCAGGCAACTTTACCAGATTTGGCTGGCTGGCTGGCTTTTGGCAAGCTGCTGCTGAAAGATAATAATAATAATATTATATATATATATATCAAATAGAGGATCTAAGTCAGTAGAACTCATTAAAAGTCCACTACCTTTGTCTAGAAGTATATATATGGTTCAAAATAGGACTTAACTCAGTTTTATTTTCTTGAATCCTAAATTTTCTGGTACCAGACGGAGGAAAAACAGGGAAAGAAGGAGGTTCTGCAACCCAGAAGCAGCAGCAAGTTTAAGAAGGCTTTGGGAGGAGTTTTTGTTAACTTAAGGCTGCAGGAAGGTAAGTTTTAGTAATTGTTTAACTTAGACTTAAGAGTTGGAGTTAGAATTTATAGTTTGATGGCAGCCTTTGCATTACACAAAAAGTAGAGTTTAAAATGCAGATTTATAGACATGCAATATGAATAAAAGAAAGGAATTTCCTCTGTTGATTGTTTCTTCTAGTCTGCAATTTCTGAAGTTTTATTGCAAGTTGAATTTCTAGTTGAAAGTCTGCACTGTTTGGCTCTTTAATCTTACTTGCACAGGGGATGAACATTCAACTAGTATGAAATGCATATGCATTACATGAGATGAGAATGCATCATTTTACGTGCTGCATAGAATCTATGGTATGATACCTAAGCTAAATGGCTAGGTAAGATACTCCTAAAGTTACCTGGAGTAATGAAAGAAAGATATCTAGATCCACTGCACAGTAGGAAGAACCATGGCTAGTCCACTGGTATGTGGGATGTACACCCACAAGGAAAAATCCATAGACAAGAACATACATTCATGTGAATATTTTGACAAGCATAGAATTATCTTGTTGCTTTGTTTTCCTTATAATTCTTAAGTAATGATTTCCCGGAGGGAAATCTCCTATTTAACTGTTCTGTGCTAGTGAACAGAACTTGATGGAATTGGCCCTGATCAAGTAGGGCAGATTATGTTTCAGCTTAGCACCAAAAACTTGGTTTGATTACTTTCTAAGTTGTGAAAGTTAAGTTAAATATTTTACTAGACTTACTGGGCTTTACAGCTTATGGAATGATTATTTCCCTGTGATTACAGGTAGAAATTAACTACAGGCAGCATACACATTTTGGGAGCCTAGGAAGCACCTGTTAATCCAAGTGCAGGCCTAGAGCCAACCCTGGTAAGACAAATTTGAACTCTGCCCAAAACCTAGACTTGGCTCACTGTTTGCTCTAAAAAGCTATGCACCATATGTAAAGAAACATCAAGTGCTGCTGTGAGTGAAACTATGGGTTTTTTGTACTGTGCAGTTTGTACATAGAACTATATTAGCATGTAAATCATACAAGGACTGGACTCTTTCCTTTTGTTTGTCATAATCTAAACTGTCCAAGTCTTATGTGTTTTCTACTTTTATTTATATATATATATATATATTTATTTATTTAAGCCCCAAACTCGTTTATGTTCTGCTATGGGAATTCATATAATCAGCAGCTTCTCAATGTGGGGAAATGTTTTAATGAAATAAATAACATGTTTCCAAGGGAACCCTAAAGAATTTACCTATACCAGGATTTAACAAATACAAACAACAAAGGCAAGAACTAAATAGAGCCTATAATACAACCTGTTAAAAGCATTACCCATATAAAAGCATTGCCAAAGGTTACCTAAAGTTACATGCATATTAGTTATAGTGATAGATAATTTGAGACAAAGGGAGCAGTGTTATATATATGGGATTGAGGAAAATCAGGATGTCCTAGCAATTACAATGCAAGACATATATCCTTTATAAATCAATACCCAAGGAAAATTCATTAAGGGTATTTTAATAATTTCACATGCATTCCATGTATTTAAAGTGCCAGGATGCCCTGATTTTCATTTTCTCATTTATGTGTATGTGTATATATGTATTGTGGTTGTTGTGGCAAAGGTTGTTGATCTTCAATTTTTTAGAAAACCAACAATCAGACATTTTTCTCCTCAGGTTTAAGTTTTGAAAACAAAAACAAGAAACAGAACAAAATGATACTAAACAAATTTTCTTCTTCTTCCAGATTGCATAGAGGCAAGTACAACCTAGATTGTTGTTTCAGACAGTGAGAAGCAACAAGCAAGATTGCAACTATCCATTCAAATAGGAATCAAGGCAACTAAAGTACGTTTTGTTCACTATCCTTATCTCATGCACACAATTACATAGTTACATTATTCATACAAAAAAGATGGCAATAAACTAAACAAAAGACACAAATGAATATAAAACAGAAAGAGGTGCTTCTTTCATACCCGAAATACTGATTTGAAGCCAATGCCTTTCTTCCCAATGTATCCACTACATTCTTTCTTTGTAGAGTTTCCAATATCACAAAGTGCTCTGATGTTCTGAGCAGAAAAGCCATCTTCGTTGTTGAGAACAACAACACCGGACTCTTGAAGAATAAATGTTAGAGTTGGTTCCACATTTTTAGAATAAATATTATCATCAGCATTTTGAACCTGAAGCAAAACCAAAAGATATTAACTCACTAGAAAACATTCACTAGCTTACATTTTTCCACCAAGCACCTAAAAGGAAGAAAAAAAAAATGGAAAAAGAAAAGAAAAACCAAAAACTTACAAGCTCAAGAAGAAAATGAGAATCCTGTGAGTATAATTCTTGTGATAGACAATGCAGTGCCCTCCCTAGTCGAGCATGCTGCTTCTTCAACATGCTACTCTCAATGCCTGAAAGATTTGGATCAATACCAAATTCATCTCTCCTAATTGATTCAACAATCAAGGCCGCATCTTTTTCTTCATTGATTAGACATGATTTTTCCTTGCCACCATCAGCTACTCCAGCAGAAGAAACTTTGGCATCATTAAGCTTGCTGTGAACCTGAGGACTTTCTCCAGGTTGCTCATCTATCCCATCAGAAACACTAATTGTTGTTATCCCACTAGAGGAAAGCTTATTCACAGCATTTTGCTTACTGCTTGAGCCAAACCTGGACTCAGCTGTACCAGAATCTACTTCTGATGCCTTGCAGTTCAAAGGCAGGAAGAGATCAATGGTCTTGGCAGAAAAAAATGCATTGTAATCCTCTATCCATTGCACTATACCTAGTGATAAGCCTATTTCATGTAGCATGAACCGCTGTTCCAGATTTCTGCATTCCCTCAAAATAGTTGAAGGGCCATCTTTAACAATAGTTCGCAGCCCATCAAGAAATATATCAGCAGCGAATTCACGAAATTCAGCAGGTAGGTAACCAAGACAATCCAGGACAAACTGTGAAACAAAAGATACCACTTCATTAATTCTGGTGGAGTTTATCTGTAATTCACCATCCAATCTATCAGCAAAACAATTATCCGTCATTTGTTGCACAAATAATGTTTTCCCAATCATATGACCATTCAAACCATCTGTTACTTCCATATTCTCCAATTGATTCTTCATCATGACGTCAATAGCCTGGTGTGCATAGCATCTTAACAGGGATAAAGGAAGATGCTTTACCCCCCCAGATAATGAAAATAAAGAAAGCAGTTCTACAGCGGTTTCAAATGAAGATCCCTTAAGAGCAGCTTGCAAAAATGAATCTAGAGTAGCTAAATGATCAATCCGAACCACCTTCCCATCTTTGGTCACCAAGCACAATAATTCCTTTGCATTGACTTCATTCAACAGCCAAACTACAAGAGGACCAAGAGAGGGGGCAAATACAACATCCCAGTGGGACCATGAAATTAAATCTGACAACATTGGCGCCCTAAGCAAAACATCCAATGCATCCTTAGAAGTCATAGATTTAACTGTCCTATCTTTCTGGAGAAGGTTATTTCCACCTTCAAGGGACTCTAATAAATAGTTTTCACCATGAGCCAGAGAATTATCAACATGACACATTCCCAACATTGAAGCAGAAAATAAGACACATTTAGAAATTACATCATTCTTATATTTCTCCAACTTCTCCAGAAAATTCTCCATTGGACCATTTTCCATGATCTTGAAACTGATGCATGGAAACTGCCTTGTAAGCAGAGTAGAAATCATTTCCTTGTTAATGATTTCATTCTCCCGCAAATTTTGTGATGCTTGAGATACTAGTACAACCAACAGAAGCTGCAGAATGCAAACCTCTAAAGAAGAGGTATCACATGATCCACCAGCAAAAAGTTCCTTCATTTCTTTAGGTAATAGAGAGAAATTGTTCTCAAGGAATGTGAAAAAATCACCAAAACCAAGGTACCTGAATTCCTTAACAGAAAATTGATCAGCTAGCCAAGACCCACAATCACACAGCTTCCTTAGGAGAATGAATTTTTTTTCTTTTGTCATGCCCTTCAAAATTTCATGATTATGCTGAAAAAATGCAGTAACTTTCCTGCTAACTTCTTCAGGAGTCACATCTGCAACATATAATCTTAATCATACTTCAGCAAACAAAGTAACAAACAGAAATAGCAAATAAGCATGCATATTTGAAGATACATTAAATGACAAAACTGCTTACAAGAAGATAATTTCTAAAACTTTGATTGAGGAATATATAGATAAACCTGAGAGAAAATCCCTCATTTTGCTTCAATTTATGATTATGTCATTACATTTGCTGCTAAAACTTTAAATAGAAAATATGAACATTTTTTTTTCTGTTTTCTTATCCAGCCTTTGAAGAGCTTAATCCAAGTTCATCTTTTCAGCGTAAAGTCAAAAAACTATGGATAGCTCAATTTTCTAAAAGAATTTGGTTCTAAAACCTGCATACTTATTGCATCATCAGATTAGCCGGAAAGTACGAAATACATTGCAAAAAAGTAACCATGTTAATCTGCAAGCCTATAGACACCCAGATAAAAATAGAACAAGCCAAATAACATTACACACACACACACACACATATTGTAAAACAGGAAAGTTGGCTTTATCATGACTTATAACCAAAGTCTAAATAAAAATAAGACTTAACACTGCAAGCAAAAGAAAGCTAAAGTAAAAGAGTATCAACAGTTGTTAAAATCGCAAGGACCGTATCAAACAAACAAAGATAAATTAGATTACTACAAAAACAAACATGTACCAGTATTAAATCTTGGTAAGAATATGATACTGCTATTTGCATACAGGATAGAAAGTGGAGTGTTGCAGGGTCCTAAAAACAGGAATAATAATAACAATAATGGTAATATTAATAGGGAAAAAAACAAAGAAAAAAAAAAGAGAGCATCAAGAATGTATTCAATGGTCCCAATCCAATCACATATGATGTTTACAAGCAAGATGGTTAATGCACATGAATGGTCCAAAAAAAAAATTTTAAAAGGTCCAAGAAGCTCCCAAAAATGAAAAATAAAAAATAATAATAGTAATAATAATAAAAACTAAAAAACTCAAAGCAAAGCAAAGAACAAGCTAGAAACTAGCAAAGATTTAAAAGTCTGAAAACAACTCAATTACCTAAAGGCAACTGATGTAGGACAGTCAGGACAGCCAATGAAATGAACAAGACTGCCAACATTTTCCTTCAGTTGTTTAGGTTTTGTTGGGTTTTAAAGGATCAAAAGAAATACTGCTCATCTTCAGATGGAAATAGCTGATATGATGGGAAATTAATGAATGCAAAGCACCAAAACCAGCAAACAAAATTAAGCCCCTCTTAGTACAAAAATGGCCTAATAATTATTCGCAAAACAAATCAAATAGCTGTTCCTTTGAACTAATACACAGTCACAATTCTCCAAGCACTCATTAAAAACTCAAAATCTCATAGAACTAAAAGAACAAGGATTCCAAAAATCAAAAATAGGAGAATAATTCCAAAAATTGATGGATATAGGGATAAAATACAACCAAAAGAGGGACAAGAAAAGACCAGGTAACAAACTCAATAATTTAATTAAACTCAAAGTAAGACCAATTGGACATAATAAAGGCCCATAATGAGAAATAAATAATTACTTAAGTACCCAAAGATGCAAAAAATAATAATAATAATAATTCAGACAGTTACACTGATAAACCAATGTATTTCAATAATTACCAAAAAAAGAAAAAAGTTTTACCTCAGACAAAAACTTGAAAACTTAGCCCTTCACTGGCTAAAGTTAAACTCTTGAACCACTCAATCACATACCATAAATAAGGGAGAGAGAAGCAAACTAAAGAACTATAATGATGGAAGCATAATACAACTACACAAACATTGCTGGCAAAGCAAACATTACTTACGCTGTGTAGACTGCATTGAATGCTTGCTAACACTAGATTTATCCTTTTCACTAGGTTCAACTTCAATGCTTTCATATTCTGTGTAATTATCAGATGTATTAGTAAATTCAGGCTGATTGATGGCTTGGATAGCATCATAAGTACTATCCCACATTCCTTTTTTGATGGCTGTCACCTGTAATATTAAATGCAAATTTTTGAGCAAAACCAATATGCACAAAGTGCTTATCACCACATATGAGAAATATACAGGTCAACTTCTGAAAGCAAGCAATGAAAGAACTAAAATGAAAAAAAAACAGACTTCAACAATATCAAATCAATATACACAATAGCTAGGATAAATACTTGAGAAACCAAAAGAATATTTTTGCCCCAAGAAAGGGAAAAAAGAAAAGGAGCATTGTTTACCATTAAGCAAAAACAGCAAAATAATTCTCAGCAATAGATGCAGGAACTATTTCGGGATTCCAAATGCATAAGAGACAATAATTTTAAACAGGTCTCCTTTAAAAATCTATATCATTCCTCACAAAAGAGAAATTAAATAATCCATAACCCAGAAATTCAGAGGAAGACAATACCAATTCTAATTTGAAAAGTAATGAGAGGTTGTGAGGAGGTAAACAACAACAAGAAACACCATAACACCACTAAAACTTTAAACATGATAAGTTGCATCACATTGATGGAGAAAATAATTCAACTTATTTTAGTAAAATATGCATGCCAATCTAAACATAAAAATCAAAAGGAGAGCCCCAGGGGCAGGAGGTGAGGCAAGGAAAAACAAAAAAATGTAGACCAACAGTCTATATTCTCTACACAAAGCAAAGTACATCTCACAGTTGGGAATATTTAGATATAAATTTAAACAAAAACATGAAATTTAAAGAACAAGTTGACCATAATAGACTTACAGCGACAATTAGTAATCCAAGAAATGGGTACGATGAAAGCATTGATTTCATTATTCTCCTTTTTTTGCGAAATTTTGGCTTATAAAAATGAAACATTCTTTGCAGAACCTGAAACAAGAAGCCTGGATATTGTTAAATGAAAGGAGAAAGGGAAGATAAAACATCCAGCCATACACAATAAACTTAGGAAAAAGAAAGGAATTAATTGAAAGTAAAAATATAACCAAATCCTTAAGTATCTAATGCATGTTATGGCAAATGATAGTAAACTAAAAACCAGAAAACAACCATAGATGAACAATGCGATCTGCACTGCAATACGATATATAGAAACAGCTTCTTTTCTTTTAAGAAAGCTTACCTTAATGATCGTAAGCTCTTTACATGCCTCCTTCCAAGTTGTAATAAATGTATTCACAGAGTGATTTGAAAGAGAAATATCAACTTCATCTAAAAGAATAAACTCATTCCATTCATAGCTATCATCATATGGAAGAACATTTTTCTTGCTCCTATCTTCCTCGAATTTCCTTTTCTCGAATTTCCTCTTCTCGAATTTCCTCTTCTCGAATTTCCTCTTCTCGAATTTCCTCTTCTCGAATTTCCCCTTCTCGAATTTCCCTCTTCTTTTCGTTATGGATGATCTAATATTCTCAATCTGCCTTGACTTGCCACTAGCAGGAGTTGACTTGTTCACTCCATCTCTCAACCCAAGTCGTGTCAGCTCCTCAGTTGCAGAAGGGTAAGGGCAGCTACTTGGTCGGTCAGAGATATTCACAATGTCTGATGACAACTTGTCTACTGACAGCTTGAAGTGGCTTCCTACATCATTGTCGTTGTTTTCATCCCTATGCCCATGATCATTGGCATCTTCCTCCTCTGAGCTTGACAAATCAAATTTTATGTGCTTGCCACAAAAATCCTTGTGCACGGAATAAAATGATTCAACACGTTCAGTCATAGTGACATAACGCTCTTTAAGCTTCAACCCACCTTGACATTTGTTTATTATGGCATCTTCTGACCTCTTGGCTTCACGGATAAAACTAATATACATCCTACACCAAACATAAACAAATAAAAGAAATAAGCAAGAGATTGCTTTCACTTAAAATGCTTCCTGGACATTTTTTTATGTTTCCTAGACAATAATCTATCACTCAGTCAATATATTGAAACTCCAAACCAGGTAGCAACTCTATGTCAACATTTACTACTGTGGAGTAAAGAAATTACGAAATGCATTTGGCAGTCAAAACTAAAAGTCAACTATGAATGGAAAAAGGTCATCAATGTATGCAGTATTGATGCTCAATGACTAATTCTTAGTTAGCAAGTGATCATACCACATTATTTAGTATTGAATATTGGGGTTCATTTTGGGCTACTTTTAGCAAAGATAAGAAAAATAGATAATGTACTTAAAATGGACTAGGCTGATATAAAATAACATTCTGGTTCAGTTTTTTGTGATTTTTATACATTCAAGCCACAAACTGAACCAAAACTATTTGGTATTATATTAAATATTTTTCTAACCAAACCATAAAACCAATCTAAACTGCGAATTGAACCTCCCACTCCCACCCCCACCCTCCAAATAGAATGTACAAAGAAAAGACATAATAAAAGCATCTTCCTCTTTTCATTCTAAGATAACTATCATTATATTTATATCAAAAGTTCCTAGAGTACAGCAATGAAATTCTAACTCCATTGAAGAGGATTAATGATAAAACTTAGAGCTCATTCTAAACTTTAAATTAATTACTGCTTTACATTGGCAGAAATCCCACAAATATGCCTGTTGCACAACACTAAGACGTCTGAGCTTGTATTTTCAGTCTCAACAGAAAAGTCAAATGTTTTTATTTCTCAGATGACTAATTTTGCAACAAAGCAAAAACTGAAAGACATAACCCCACAAACAAATAACAAAATGGGTCATATATATACCAACTTAAACAACATTTTATGCATTATTTTCTAATGGATGCATCACAGCTTTTCTACTAAAAGTTTGCAATCAGACAGATAATACATACCCCAAGTTCTGAATACGCACACCAAGCTTCTCCTTGCCCATGACAGAATGCTTCATAGCAACAAACTCTAGAAAGTCACCAACCTGAATCCTTTTTTTTTTATGAGTCTTCATGAATTCACAAAGGCAAGCTATTACATCTTCACAAGTTATCTTAACTACCATACTAACATCAAAGCTAGGCAGAAAGTATTGTAAGATAAGTGGATGACGCAAGTAAGGGCCAAGCTCCAGCTCTTCAAACTTTTTAATGCTCTCATTCTTGCATATTGCCATTTCCAAGTCATACAATGTTGTAATTGTCCTCACCCCAAGAAAACAATGAATAAATGCATTTATCTAAACACAGAGGAATAAAAAAAAAATTAAAAAAAAAAAACCTGAGAGATGTTAGTAAAATTTAAAGAGAAGAAATTACATACCAATGATAACTAAGTCTACTATCCATTCGGTTTCAAATAAAATGGTCAAATAGAAAATCAAAGCTGTGAAATTTACAAATTCAGTCTGCCTTTAGTTTTCACAACTCAAGAACACTTGCTTCATAGATGCTAGTCATTAAAATAAATTTAAAAGGAAAATCACTAAACGAGGTAAAATTTTTCGTTTTGCAGATTCATTGTAACAACTCTTTAGATGAAAGATTCCAACCCTCAGAACATCAGTTTTTACTCTTGAATATCCTAGAAACTAGAAAGAACAAAAAAATAGTAATTCCAACTACAAATTTAAAAAGGCCATAACTAGGAATCCCTAGTCTGTCCTTACAAATAACAATAAATTCCTCACCGTAAGAAAACCAATGAGCATAGAAATCACTCTATCAGAATAATTAAGGAAAACATATATAGAATAGAAAAACATGCAGCGGCAGTTCGGTTGTGCAATTACCCTCTCCTCAGTAAGCATAAGCTGTCGTAGAGAAGGAACCTCCAGCATCTGGCACCCCAGGGAGTGCCAAGAATCAACCTGCAGTATCTGGAGCGCAGACTGTGACACTTTCCACGCCGAGACACTCTCTCCAGCCGCAATAAGGTCGCGCCGTGCCTTCGCCACCGCCCTATCCACTCTCTCCAAAACCCCCATCGGTTTTTCACAACCAACACTCTCTCTATGGAACGGAGGATGACCAAAACTCTGATTGCCGTAACCATGTTGCCGAGGGAAATTAGGTATTTGGGGACGGAAATTGTGGTTTTGTTGGGGATAGTTGGGATTTTGAAAGGGTAAATAGGGTAGTGTTTGCTGTGTGACCTGCGCCTGTGCTGCATGGAGGACTTGGTACATATCGGCGTTTTGGAAGGCGAAAGAGTAGTTTTGGGTAGGATGTTGCAGCGGCGGCTGGGAGGTTTCGCCGCCGCCAGGGAGGCGGAAGCCATAAGGGTAACCCTGCATTGGAACGGCTTGAGCGTAACGCGTTGCAGCGTGGAAGAGAAAGTTATCTTTATGAGTTTAATTTTATGTATTTCCGTCCGAATTATATATTAAAAATATAATTCTAACAATTTTTTTAATAAATAAGCATAACAAATTTATTAAAAATATTTTTAATAATTAAAAAAAATACCAATTTTAATTTTTAAAAAATTTTAAAATTTTAATATTAAATTATATCATTTTATTTAAATAAAATTTAATTAAAATTTTAAAAATTTATATTATTAAATATTAAATTTAGATTTAAAAATTAATTAAAATTTTAAATTTTAAATTAAAATTTCAGTTTTTAAATATAAATTAAAATTTTAATTTTTTAAATAATTAAAATTAATATACGTTAATTTTTTTAATAATTTTAATAGTCAACCTATATTTTTAGGTGTAATTTAACTTAAAAAAAACTTTTTAATATTTATTTGTAGATTTTTTTTTTCGTTGTTTAAATTTATTTTTGTCTGTATGGCGGTGGAGGAAAGAATCATGCTTTTTAATCCAACCGCTACACTGGCCGGAAGAAAAGATCGGACGGCTAAATATAATCTGATTTTGACGCACCCTCGAGTGCAGTTTATGGAAATACTTGTTTTAGCAGTTTTGCCCCTAAAGTTTCTCTAGGTTCACAGTTGAACTCTTTATTCCATTTCTTATCAATTCAACCCTTTAACTCATTGGTTTAGCAAAATAAGCCCAAAAAATAGCTTTATTATGGAATACAGGGCATTATGCAAAATAAAGAAATTCAACTCTTCATATTCATGTTTATCAATGCCATTAACATCCATGCTTAAAAGACTAATGTTATAAGCAATTGTTTCCACATCATCAAATAACAAATTATATAATAATTAATAGTTCAATTTTTCAAATTTATATTATTTAAGTTTAAAACTCTTAATCATTTGTCATCCCTAGAGTAAGGTGATTAAAGTGTAAGTCGAGCCCAAGTGGTTAAAAGTGTAGGTCCTAAAAAATATGAGTCCCAAAGTTCAAGTCATGATCCAAGTTCAATATGTAAATATACTTGTACAAATTTCCAAAGAAAAAAAATACATTCATCGCCACATAGCATTTACGAAAAGTTATAAAACAATTTGAACACCCAAAATCATAGTATTATGTTCCTTCTTGTTTCTCTCCTCACCTAATACACTTATCTTTGATACATAATGAAAATGAATACGTACATCTTGATTGATTAGCACAATGACAAGTGAAGATCATTTACGGATCTGATAAACACAACCATGGAAATACATGCAAAAGGCATCATTGGCTTTCAGAGATCTGCTGAACCAAAATTCATGTGGATTCAGCAATCTACCAAGTATTAGATAAACTGCTTCAAAAACTCCGTAGCCACCAACCTCCCTCTTGTGTTGACAGACATTTTCAGCTCACTTATTTCTTTATCAATATCCTGCATTTTGAGAAGGAACGGTTGAAAATGCTGTAAACCAAAAGAAAAATAGATGAAAAGCAAGAGCATGACAGGGACAAGAACTGAGAAGCATATAGTAAGAAAACTGAATCGAAGTACCCAGATTCCTGAAACAACCCTATCTGGAAGGACAATGAATCTTATGATAGAATCTGGTTCTTATTTCTGAGGTCTTTAAAGGTATTGGCACCACCAATCTAGTGCCGACAATTTAATCCATGTCAGATGGCCCAAATAATTTGAAAATTA